AGCGTGAATGGCTGCCTGGCCATCCTCAGGAAGAGGAGGTGCGTTCGATGAAGGCAAAGCAGATGGCCGTGACACGCCGGCTACTACGTGGTTGTCCTGCAGGAATGTGGAGTACCATGCTAAGTTTCCGGTTGCTTGCGGCTTGGATGCTTGTGCACTAGACGTGAACTGCACGTGACGCGACGTGGTAGAGCCTTCAGAGCTGTCCCTGTCTCTGCATCGGAAGGCCGTCTGCTCGGTATTGCTGGGTGCGTCGCTGTCAACTGTTGGATGACTCTCCCAGCTACATCATGTTTGAGTGAGGCACCGAGCATTCATGAAGTTGCTGAGTGCACTGGTGGGGCAGAGGGGAGTGCTGCTGTCGTTTAGATGCTGATGAGCGGGCAGTAAGCAGTCAATGGAGCCTACCTAATTCTCAGTTCATGTGGTCACTCTGAAATTGTGATGCCTTAGTCGTGGGAATGTTGACTTCGTTTCTAGCGAGGAAAAAGCTTGATGGTTGTGCATTGTGGCGGTTAGTGTTTTTCTGGACCGTTTTTTCTTTTTTGGTATAGCAGATTCTACCTTTTTATCTGTTCGGTGATGGGCGAACGTGTCCTAGCGCGGGTGTTGATACCGGGCGTTCACCATTATGCTCCTGTGTCGCTTGGGTATACAGACTTTCCGTTGTGCAGGGCTTGCAAGGTTTTGTAATTCGACGAGCCAATAGCGGTGCTTTCAAGCTATGCTGCCGGAGGGAAGTAGTTTAGATGTTTGTTGCGGGCACCGCAGGTGCATGCATTTTAGTGATCTGCAGTACAAATGAAGGTTGGAGTTCAACACTGGATGTTAGGCTCTTCCAGTCAATTTTTCGTGCGGGTATGGCACTGCAGTCAGCTTCACAGGCTGCCTTTCCATTTTTTGCGACAAAGTCGTTACGCGCGGCCCTTCTGCTTTCCCAAGATGGGTTCATTAAAAGCGAAATTGGTAATTATGGGGTTCGGGAATCTCAGCCACAGATAGGAATAACACCTGCGATGTGATACATATTCTGTGTGGAGGTCACACGCTATCTTTTTCGGTATCTACTAGGGCGATTCATTGAACTTGAAGTCAATGCCTGCTTTCAGGTGAATATGGAACCTTTCGTCAAGAAGCCAGGGTCTCCGGAATCTGGAGCTGCTTTGCGGTGGATGCACTTATGGCTCCCAGCGTTACTCCTGAGCTGCCTATTATTTCACTACTACAAGCCATTCCGTCGTTCTTGCAGCCGGGAAAGGGGATCCACAGAAGGGCATCATTGTTGCCAGCCCAGTTCATCAGTTCCTTTTCTATCGGCGCCGGTAGATTTACAACATAGCTCGAAGCTCTCTACAGAGGCAGCTGCCTATGGGCCGCAACAGTCCCGCAGCTTTGCCGATTATTGGCATTTGCCCGTTCGGAGTGGCCATCCCTAATTTGAATCCTATGGTTTGCTTTACAAAAGTTGTGTAGTGAATACTCCTTACAATCACGGCAGCAATGCTGTGCTCGTTGTGAAATGAGTGAGGGTTGTATGAATTATGAAAGTGTCTGTGAGTTCTTGTTGATCTACATTGAATATAACATTGGTGAAAGCATTAAGCATTCTTTATGGAGTGACCATTGATATGGTTATAGGAGAGGCTGGCTTGTGGCTTGGTGCAAAAACTATTGCACCAGGATACGGTGCCTCCTCTCCCATCCCCAAAGGCCGCAGTGCCTGCTCTACTGGGGTTGAGGGAGAACAATTTTCAGAAAGAGAGTATAAACTGAGAGAACGTATTTCCTTAACCTTTGTTAGTTTGATATGTTTTGTTCAGTATGATAGATATTGCTTGCCAGCTCGCTATACTCAGCTGTGAGGTTCCAGGGATGCGGCTCACAGTAGCCCTTCAGATATACAACCTAGTAATACGTAAAGCTTACTGCAAATATTTGTACAAAAGATAAATACTCTAAGTTACCTTTACCAGTTCTCAGCAATTGCATGAGGGAACTGAGGGCTCTCCCCCACTTCTCGTCAGCGTACAGGGCCTGCAGTGCCTAGCGTGAGAAGCTCCCCTTCAGAAACGCCAGTCTAAGGGGAGTTCGGGGCCTTAGGGATCATGTGGCCCTCGGAACCTGATCCATCACGTCAGTAGATGCACTAGTCCCGGCCAGAAGCTCTGCGTCTTGTGCCCCCAACGATAACAGATGCAGATGAAAAACACAGTTGTGAGGCGTAGAAGGGATCCAAGTTCCCTCACACGATGGGGTGATGGGATTCCATAACACTCTAGGTAATACAAGCCCTGTAAGCTGATGAGAAGAGGGGGAGAGCCCTCAGTTCCCTCATGCAATTGCTGAGATCTGGTCAAGATAACTTAGAGTACTCATCTTTTGTACAAATATTAGCAGTAAGCTATACGTATTACTCGGTTGTATCTCTGTAGGGCGACTGTGGGGCGCATCACTGGAACCCCGCAGCTGAGTATAGCGAGCTGGCAAGCAATATCTATCATGCTGAATAAACATATCAAACTAACAAAGGTTAAGGAAATAATTTCTCTCAGTTTATTCTCTCTCTAAATTGTTTTCCCTCAACCCCAGTAGAGCAGACACTGCGGCCTTTGGGGCTGGGAGAGGAGACGGCGTAGCCGGATGCAAATAGCTTTTGCACCAAGGCACAAGCCGCCCTCTCCTATAACCATACCAATGGTCACTCCATAAAGAATGCTTAATGCTTTCACCAATGTTATATTCA